GATTTACCAGGTCGACTATGACGAGACATTTGCGCCTGTAGTCAAATGGGCTTCCATCCAGATACTCCTTGCAATCGGTGCATGTCTTGACTTAGAAATCGACCAGATGGATGTCAAGATGCGATCAATTCGGTTTCTCTAACGCTCGACCCATCTCTACTCCTATCGCTGCCGGTCTCAAATTGTCACGACTCGACACCTCTGAAGTGAACGTCCGCGACTATCAATCCCGCATTGGTAGTATCATGTACGCTGAAGGAGAGAACAAAGGAAGGTCAGTTGGGAGGTTCAAACGAGACCACCACCAAGCTGTTCCCTGGTTCTTTAGTTAGGATGGGGAAGTGTACTAGTGTTGTTTATTGTAAATATAGTACCAATCCGAGTGTTTTGGCGAATTCTATTTTTATGGGTTAGTTTTAAAGTTTCTGGGAATTGACTTACAGATAAACCGAACCCTGCGGAGCTGTTTCTTTATTGAAATTTCCTAATTTGTCTAGGTGTAATTCTGTGTAGCGTTGTTTAATTTGGATTTAATCTTCTACTTGGTGAAGTTTCAAAGATTCTATTCAGTTAATGAATTTGGATTATGTCTGGAGTGTCCCTTGAGTTTGTTTTATTTTTGTCTTATTTTATTGCTTGTTTTAACAGTAGCAAAATAACTGTTTTGTGTTTACACTTTGAAATCTGGAGTGTTAACCAGCTCTCCTGTTGAAATATCTACTTAATATTTCTCTCCTTAATTGCTGCCTTTTACTACAGTGGCAATCTTAACTGTATATCACTTTTTCGCACTGGAGTGACAACCAGAAATGCTTGAGAAAAATAATACTCTATTTTCTTACTTCTCTAAGGGGGGCGAAAAGTCGCAGAAAGGGTCTCCTTTTTATACTCCTTGGGTCGCCTTCCTTTTTCACGCTCTACCTTCTATTTACAGGATTTATTTACAGTGTATTTTTCTCAAACTGAATAAAAAGTGAAATTTTCACGCTATAGTTCCACTGCGCTTTGCTGCACTGAACTGCAGCTCTACTGCGGTCAGACTGCGCCTGGAATCCTTATTGTCCTTCCTCGCCTAAGCTATTTTAATGGTTAATTAGAATTTGTCTGCGCCGCATTTGCCGCAGTTCCCTATATCAAAATCCCCATATTTTCCATTAAGTTCGCTATGACTCGGTCATACTGAATTCAAACCTCGCATTACTATGCGTGCGACTGTGCTGAGACCTTCAGCTGATTTATTCCAATTTTATTTAGTGACATTTAGTTAAAATGAGACTGAAATGATAAATGAGTGAATTATTCAGGTTTAAAACTGAAAGAAAAAGTTGCTAGTAATCAAGAATTACTCAAACGAATGTGTTGTAGCTCTCTACTTCATTAGAACATCGTTCCCTAAAATTCCCGCCATGGTCCATCGTAGTTTAGTAGTTTTCGTGAATTTCGTTCATATTCCCTGATTCCCCTTTGTATTATCACATCCTAATCCTCCATATGTATTGTTCGTTGTTATAGTAGGTCGTCCTCGAAGATATCATATTTTTATGTATTTTATTTAGGGCTCTAGACCTCTTGAAGCTGTCTTCCCGCGTGTTTTCAGGTTTCTAACTTCATGTCCTTGTATCTCATTCATTTCTGGATGTTTTCTCACGTTCTTGGTATCATAAATTTTCATTTATTCCCACCTTTCCAATGGTACTAAGGTTGTGTCCTATTTCCCTGTATTCGTTGAGTTAGCAAAGTTTCGCGCGCACATTCGGTAATCACGTGCGTTGTTCCCATAGTCGTTCGTATGCGGGAGCCGTTTTCGTTTAGTTGTTTGGGATTTATGATATGCGCGGGTGTTTATTTCTTTCATATGGGCTTCTGTGATTTATTTCAGATTTTTCCCTCATGATCTAAGGTTGTTTTGCACTTTCCGTGCTTTGTTTTGACCGGGCTCTTCCTTATTTGGATGGAAATTGGTCTTCGCGATCTGCCGAAGTGCGGATCTCGGTTCCAACGGCCGGTTCCCTGCGCATCGCCACCCTCACGTGTCATTATACATGATGCGGATTCCTATATTCCCGTCATGGGTATAACTTCACAACGGCTGGACCGTTTGGGCTGAGAATTTGCATAACTATAGTTTCCCATTTTTAATAATTTCTGTGTAAATTTCGTTGTATGTTTTAATTATGGATCCTACGCAAACATCGTCTTGTCCCTGAGCTCGGACTTTTGATGTCACTATTCCCGTTATTGGATATCTCATTAACGCATGATCCTTTTATTATGAAAATTTGGGAGGATTAAGATTAGATCCCTTCCTTTCTAATGGGCCATCAAGCTTGTCTCGGTCGTTACTGGTTAATCTTCGCGCTTGCCTTTTAGACATTGTCCTCGTTTTGCAGGAGTTTTAGTCATATCTCCGTCGTTTATGGGTAGTTTCCCCTGTAATTACTCTCATTGGTTCCGTTTGGGGAACATCTACATTTCCTATTATAAACACGACTTTGACCTTTGCATTAGTTCCTGAGGAATCTTTGTTCCATGGTACTTCCATCCTTGGCTACATGTGCGGACGTGGGAAAGTAGTTTCCGTGGAGGTTCTCTGATTGTTTTTATAGTCAAATCTTGGTCGATTGTCCTAATTCTTGGTTTAATATTTGCTATAAATTCCCCCGAGAATTCCGTCTCGTTGATGGTAAGCTTGAAGTATTTTTGTTATTTTTCTTTCTTTCGATTTATCGTGTATAGTCATAATAATTCGTAAAAATTCGTAAAATTCGTTAAAATTCAGGTCCTTCTATGTTCTCATATCTACTTGTCGTATGAGGTTTTGTGATTTATCTGGCATATTTCCATAATAGGTTTCCATAGTGTGGCCGTTATTTCTCCTACAACGCAATGCTGGGAACTCGCCCCGATATCGCATATGCCGTAGGCGCTCTAAGCCAATACTCGGCCAATCCTGGAAAAGACCACCTCAATGCGGTAAACCGGGTTCTCAAATACCTCAACTGTACTAAGGACTACAAGCTCATGTACAACGGAAAAGCACGCGAAGGTGACTTCACGGCCTACTCTGACTCTGACTGGGCGGGCGATGCTCGTGACAATAGGTCCATTTCCGGCTATGTCTTTATCATGGCTGGCAGTGCTGTGTCATGGAGCTCAAAGAAACAGCCATCCACCGCGTTGTCGAGCACTGAGGGAGAATACATGGCGTTGACCCATGCGGCAAAGGAGGCGATTTGGATGCAACAGTTCATTGGTGATGTCCTTCGTCCTCCATCTGTTCCTACCACCATACTTGGCGATAACCAAGGCACATTAGCACTCGCCATGAACCCCGCTTTTCACGCTCGTACTAAACATATCCGTGTCCGACAGCATTTCATTCGAGATTGCGTTTACGACGGAGATATTATACTCGAATACATTCCAACCGCGGACCAAGTGGCCGATATCCTCACAAAAGGACTCGCATTCGAGAAACATGATAAATTTACGAGGGGAATGGGAATTGTCGATGGGAACCATCGTTGAGAGGGCGTGTTGGAATATCAACAATCGGTTCCGATGACGGAGTGGCGAGGATGGTGTTGATTGTTGGTGGCGGAAGTGAAGTTTTGGGGCACGTCTTTTGCACCCCATTTTTCTTCTTTATGCGATGGGCTCACCACTGGTGTAGTTCGCGTATAAGAAGGGAGTTTTTTGGACTCCCTCTCCCTCAGATCTCTAACACGAGTCTGAGGTGAGATAGATTTTATTATTCTTTACAAAAATTGTCTAACTGTTGGCGCAGACACTTATGTGCCATAGGTACATACAATTTATAGATCTCTAATACGAGTCTGAGACACTTACGTGCCATAGCCTTATATTTAAAAACGCGGGCGCGCGTAACAACGGGCCTGAAGCAGACAAGGGTCCCTGGCCACTGAGACTAAAGTGGGAAATGTGTTATTGTTATTATCAGGGGAAGTGTAAGCTACTTGCCTAAAGTGGGAAATGTGAGAAGAAGGTTGCTTCTCAGTTCCCACTTAGGCTGTGTTTATATACATGTGGTTGAAGGCCATGTGGGAAGTGCCACATCATCCAAGCACACAGCCACCTCCATCCGGGTACCTCCGTAAGAGGTTCTAGGAGCGTCCGGTATGCGGGGGGTCGTCCGGTGTGTCCGGGTTCGGGCGCGTTACACTGCAGCCGGGTCAATGGTACATTGATACAAAGGAAGTCGTCCATGTGATAAGAAAGGAATAAAGAGGAGAGAGAATAGAAAAGAAGGGGAAGAAGAAAGGGAAGGGAAAAAAGGGGAAGAGGGGGGAGGTTGGGAGGAGTGGATGGTGGGGCACTGGGTTAGGTGGGGCCGGGTCAGGCGGGTGTGCCCTGACACAGTGGAGCAAGGGTTGGGCGGGGCATGTCGGGGCATGCCCTGACACAACACCCCTCCGATCGCCTACCTTGGATCCAACTCCGAAAGTGAGGATGACGTTGGGTTTGACATTGAACGGCATCTTGGTGCTACCTCCCATTCTGGGGTTAGGCATGATCCGGTGGAGCTCAGTGATGATGAGCTTGATGCCAACGATGCAGACTCAGATGTTTTCCTCTGAGCCACAGCCCACCCAATCAACCTACCCCTACCTCTTTTTTTACATCTCTTTTCTTTTTTACTTCTGTTCTATCACTATGCATGTGTGAAATGCATTATATTTTCAAGTATTGTACAAGAGTTTAGAGGTAGCCTGAGTGATGAAACCAACCTCAAGCTTTCACAGGCGTTACGGAGAACACAGCAGACAAGAGTAAGTCTGTTGCACGATGAAGGGACTGTGAGGCCAGCTCATTGTTTACATATGAGTGGTTGCATTGCAGCCAAGCCTTGATGGATGAAATGTCTTCTTCAATTGGGTTGAAGTCCAGGGAATATGGGGGAAGATACTCCAATCAGACTCCACTACAAAGGGCAAGGATAAGAACAATAATGATACCAAATATTCAATTACTTACCGATCCTCACACATTTGTGCAAGCTGATCAGATTTGTGAATTGCCACATTATCCATCACAAGAACCGAGTTTCGCTGTGGGAAGGGGTTCATTGTGGCTGTCAGAGTACACCTGTTTCCAGCCTGCTTACTCATGATTGATGACACTACACAGCCCCATGATCCAACCCTGTGATCCGTGATCCATGATCCCTGATCCCTGATCCTTGATCCTTGATCCATGATCCATGATCCAAGTCCTTGATCCAGCATAGCCCCACATAGCTAGATCAAACACCTGTGTAGATTGGCTGTGCATGTAGTAGGCTATATTATCCCCTGAGTAGCAAGTAGGAAGGGCCAGCTTTCTTCTCTCATTTCCCCTCGCTGCTCAGCTGGAGCCTGTGTTGCCTAGCACACCTCATGGTTCTCCTATTGAGACCGACCCAGACCTTCCTAGTCTTACCTCCACATCTACTGGATCTCTTGACCTTAGCTCTGAGCAGCTCGGTATCCTGACAGTGGCCAGAAGAGCCTCAATAAAGTGGTCAAAAGACTTGGCCATGTATGTGCCGACCTGGATGTCACAGTGCAGAATACCATCCAGTGACATTGCAGGGAGGACAGAATACCTAGTGAGGAGATTGTCAACTTATACAATATCTTTCTAGAACCTGACTTACTTTGTGCCACAAATAAAAAAGTCATGGCGTTGCATGTGCTCTCCACAAGGTGCCCAACCATGCACCCGGGCTCCTGTCTGACGGTTAACCCCAGTTTCATCCACGAATACAAGTTGGTTTGCTCAGTAGTTCATTGCCATGTATTGTCGGAAATTAGCATGCCTATCTTCATCACACTCAGCTGCCACTCTCTGAATCTAAAATCCAAGTTTATACTTCCACATTGTGGGAGGGATGAGCCAGTAGTACCCAAACACCACCATATAACGGTCTACAGATGCTACCTGGGACCCGACACACAATCCCCCAGCCCATTGCACTTCCCCCATCATCTCTGTATTTTTTGATATTTTTCCGGACCAGGTTACGGCCACTTAGTTTCCATATCGGGCCGCTTCTATAATATTTTCATCATATCTCCCCCAGTTCTTCTCCGATCCAGACGCATTTTATATCGTTAGAAAGCTACCGTCAAGGTGAGTCGAACAAGTCCAGCATCGGGTGATTTGGTGCAGCCGTTGTGGAGATCGTCGAATTCTATCGATTGTGTGGCCGCACCCATATATTTATCATGTTTTCTGTTGTTTTCTTTGTTCTATGTTGTTCTGTCCGTTTCTGTCCGTCCCTAACACCGTCGGATTGCTCGGACATTAGCTTTGGTTATATACAAACATGTATTTAGTATGATAAGAGATCTTCTCCTTCCCCACTTTAGTGCCAGTCTGACAGTACTGCATCTGGGAGCGTGTGAACGAGTTCAGTTAGGTTTAGGGTGACGTTGAGAAGGCAGGATGCCTTGCTTGGCCCTAGGGAAGGTCCACCAGTTGGTTTAGTTGGTTTTTCATGGAAGTTTGAGTTTTCGGACCTAGTAGGAAGGTCCGCCAGTGAGTCTGTCAATGCTGCGGTTTTGCTCCTCCCCCTTTCGTTACCTGTGTGTGTGTGTGAGGGTGGTCTGCTCAGGTTCAGAGGTCTTGTGCCCCTGCAGCCTCTTCAGCCATTCTCCCCGCTTGCAACGCCCTTGAGGAATGGTGGCACTTCCTGCAAGGAGCAGAAGAGAAGGTTGAGGTCTACACTGACCATCGTAATCTGGGATACTTCTGCACCGCACAGCACCTGAACCAGCGCCAAGCACGTTGGTCACTCCTCTCCCAGTTCCACTTTACCCTCATCCACTGCCCAGGAAAGCTCATGGGGAAACCCGATGCACTCTCACACCGCGCTGATCACCTGAGGGGCAAGGATGACAATGAGGGGCTGACACTCCTCCAACCAACTTGGTTTGAGACCCACGCAATGGAGGCGATCTCCATAGAGGGAGAGGAGATGACTATCCTCGAGAGGATCCATGGGGCAAGGGACCTGGATGAGAGTGTAGTGAAGGTGATGTGAGAACTAGGAGAAGGGATGGTTAGGTCAGATGAATGGGAGAAACAAGGAGAGCTAGTCCTATACAGGGGGAGGATATATGTCCCCAAGGACCTGCAACTCCGCCATGACCTGGTGTGGTTACACCATGACACGCAGGTGACAGGGCACCCGGGGCGATGGAAGACCCTGTCAGGGCCTGGCCTCGGACTCGGAGGCTCCCTGACCTCAACCCCCATCTAACCTGTCCTCACACTATGTGGGGCATGAGATGAGAAGAAGGGTAAAGGTCTCATCTCCCCACATGGTTGCTATATAAAGGAATGGGTCACATGCCCACAACTATACAGCTCCTAGAGTTGTGTAGTGTGACCCGGAGGGACCACCCAGGTGGCAGTGCCCAGTAAGTGTGGGAACATTCTGGGTGAGCTGCTCGCTCAGAAAGTTCCCACACTATTCCGTGCACTGTAGGAGAAATAATATTCAAAGAATAAAACAATGATCTATCAGAATAGTCAACAAAAAGGTGACAAGTTCAGATGTTTAACAGATCTCATGATCTTTATGAGACTGGACAGACATTAGAAGATCATTATAAATTATCTACACCCATGTAGCATGAGATTTAATCTACTACAAGCATGCCTAGAACCTGGCATAGGTGTAATATTCAAAGAATATATCCCTACAACAAGAAAATAGCACATAGACGGCAGAATAAGAAGGAACATTGGGAAAGAAATGTGATATCTCGGGAACCAGTAAACTTTTGACTGTAATCTTTTTACCATCTGAAAGGACTGTTTCTAAACTTTATCCACGGTTTTGTTTCATTCTAAAAGCTTCAAAACTGACGGAGATATCGCTCAAACGGCGAAACACCTTATAATTCATATATATTTATTTGCTAGTTCTTATAAAAAGTAATGTGACTCAAGGGAAATATATTGGCGCCCGGAAGTCTGGCAGACCAAATACCATATGACAGAGTATTCCCCGACGCGGGTGGACAGTTTTTGATCGCATCAGAAGAGGAGAAAATGCTAAAAAACTGGATCTTGTATATTTTCCCATGATTCATCAAAACTTTTTGATTTTAAGCTCAAATAAATCGGAACAAAGGAATGATTGATGATCTGGATCTCGGATCATAAGCATAAAGTGATTCAGAAGTCCGCGGATCAGTTAATTAATTGGGAAAGCTCTAGAACATTAGTAATGATGCGGCTTCACAAAAAGGGGTGAATTAGAGAACAGTCTAGAAAGTTCCTTTATAGCCAAGTCATTTCTAAAGATAACCGTTCGTAATTAAGGCGGTGTAGAGCATAGCTTTAGCGCTACAAGACCACGCTAAGATCGGCCCAAAAGACAAAGAAATGAATTACTTATTGCTGAGTCATGTCCTAAGTCCATTATTAAGCTTACACAGCCCAAGCCCCTATATCATTCTAGAACTATCTATAATACAAATGTAGCACATGTAACTAGTGCGAGGCGTGGGAGTAGAGAGGCCTCTGAAAAGCATAAAAGGCCGCCGCTTCTGCCCCCTCTCAAACCTCAGGTAGAAATAAAAGTTTAATTCTCCTCACCAGTGGTTGGTTCATTTGCTCCAAAAGATAAAAGCAAATATTAGTTGTTAGCTAATATAAAACTAACACGTCACTCTAAGCGTGAGTTAGGGTCAGTTAGACACAGCTGAACAAAAGTGTCATAGTGAGAATTAGTGAGAATTTGGTGGAGGGACTTCTTAATTGAATAATCTCTCAGTAATACTTGGTTATCACACCACAGGAGAAAAGTGAGCGATCCTGAACCTGCTAGATAACTAGCATGCACTCTAAGCGATAGAAAGAGCAGTTTGGTCACTCCTGTATTGAGTAACATTTATTGCAGAATTATTTTATTAGTAGTTTTCCTTCAGTAAATTATCAGGAAAATCATGTCCTACTGAAAAGTGGTATATCTAGGTGTAATATTGACTAGAAATCATAGTAAAGTCAATATAGAATTTTATCCATAGATGATCTATACGTCAGGTGAGATCGTTGGGGGGTGTTTATTGTTGTTTAGACAGTGAACAATTATATATTTGGCAACCAAAACACGGTCAGTATGCAAATCAGCACAAAGTTATTGGACATAGGAAACTGGTTACATAAGGTGATCCAGCTCCGCTCCTTCAGCGCGCATGTACACAACACACAAAGGCAACAACAAGGCAACAATCAAGGAATAAAGTAGGTGGGGAGTCTGGGGCACCCTAAGGCAGGGTGCTGAACCCTGACAGACCCTGGAACTCGTCTCCCACGACTACTGGTGGCCTCAGATGGCAGAGTATGTAGGATGGTACATGCGCTGATGCGACACCTGTAACCGCGTCAAGTCCTTCCCCTCCCACAAGGTCAGAAAGCTCATCCTGAACAAGGTCCCCACCTGCCACTGGCAAGTAATCTCTGTCGACATGGTAGGGGAGCTCCCTGAGTCGAAGGGCTACAACGCCATTCTTGTTGTAGTGGACTGCCTGTCCAAGTGCATCCATGTGGTCCCCACAGTGATGATGGTGGACTCAGCGGGAATCGCATGGCTTTTTCTTGAACACGTCTGGAGGCACCATGGCCTACCTGAAGAGATCCTCAGCGATAGAGGAAGCGCCTTTATTTCCCATTTCTCAAAGGAACTCGCAGACCTCCTCAGATTCAAGCTCACCCCCTCAGCACCTTACCACCCCCAGACAGATGGACAGACCAAATGGGTAAACCAGGAGATAGAAGCCTACCTTCAAGTATTTGTCAACCACCACCAAGACAACTGGGTGGACTGGCTCCCGCTAGTGGAGTTCACCTACAACAACCACGTCCACTCCGCCACCCACTGAACCCCCTTTGAGCTCAACACTGGGCAACACCCCAGGATGGGGACAGAGCCCATGCACATGTCTGAGATGCGTTCTCCTCAAGAATGATGAAAATGCAAGAGGAGGCGAAGGTGGTGCTGGAGCATGCAGCGGATGAGATGGCCTGCTACTATGACCGCAATTGGGGAGCAGCCCCTACATACCAAGAAGGTGACCAGGTCTGGCTCAGCACCCAGAACTACATGACTGACTGTCCAACCAAGAAGCTAGACCACAAGTGGATCGGCCCCTTCAGGATCACCAAAGTCGTCTCCCCCACTGCTGTTAAACTCTGATTCACCACATGACAGAAGGGAATCCACCCAGTCATGTCTGTGACGAACATCAGGCTGCACCGCCCCGATGACATTGTGGAACGCCCCACTGACCCCCACCCGGGCCCAGACCTTGTAGATGGAGAAGAAGAGTACAAGGTCGAAAAAATTCTGGACTCTAGATGGCAGTGCCGAAAACTCTGGTACTTGGTAAAGTATATGGGCTGGCCAAACTGTCAGGGCAATAGCCCCGAACCCCGAGTCACATGTAAACTAGATACATATAGTCACGTGGACAAGCGGGAACCTCCGGGTAACCGCTTACACACCACCGTAAAATACACCATCTTGTATCACTTACGGCCTTGTGTGCTGAGCAACCCTAAGACCTCACACTTTTTTAAGTGCATGAGGTGTGTTT